TTACCTGCACTAAATATTTTAAAGAACTCCAAAAAACAGGAGGTTATCACAAGAGAAAAATAAATGCAAGGTTATGATATTAAAACGATCATCTTCCAGAGAAAAGTTACATCGTTTTCTACTGCAACTGAAATCCTGCACCACGGTACGATTTATTCATAAAATTCATCAACAAGTACCCAATCAATCTTTGGGGAACGCCTCCGATAATTTGCATTGCCAATGTGTGAGTAAAATCTTTGTATATAAATGTGCTCGTGTGTGTGTACCTCTTCAAAATAGTATCGCGGGAAAGCAGATTTCTGAACACATTTTCGAAATCGTTCCCGGGAGCAAAGAGTCACAATTTTGACCTCTAGTTCAAAACCTGCACAGGATTTTCGATTGGTTCCGGATCTAGTCAAGATTCTCCTAGTGGGGTGAATTTTGCGTTGACTAATTGACCGTACTTTATTAATACTTGAAGATGCGTGATTGAGTTCCTCCTGGGAGGAGACAAATGGGGTGCACAGTGTTAGGGTGGCGACAGGGAGTTTTAGAGGAAATGGTGGAGTGCCAACTCCCTGATGAAGGGCTTTAGGAGGAAAGGGGACTTTGGCGGCTGGGTGAGCGCCAAAGAAAAGAGCTCAATGAAAGCGGCTTTTGTGTGTGTGATTGATCGTATTTCGAAGCGCGGAGGGCCTCACCATTGAAGCACCTCGGCATTAGTGTTGGAGAGTCGAGAGAAAGATTGTCACTCGAAAATTAGTCGGGTGCAACGTCAGTTGTTGACGGGAACCCGTCCCCGCGACCGGACCGAGACAGCGGCAAGACGTGAGCGAGAATCGAAACTGCGTTAAATAAATACTATTGTTTTCACCGGTTCTCCGCACCGCGCGCGCCTTAATGCAGCAACACACGCAACCAGCCACGCAGTTGCCACGATCGCTCAAAATTCAACGGTCACCATGGAAAACTTTCACTGAACTTTGGTCGATCACTGGAAAAAAAAACACATTGGATCTAGAGTCCAGACTCTTAAAAACATCGACAAGAAAAAGGACTCTTGATTCAATCAGAATCTAGCTTAAATCAAGAACCAAGCCTCTTAATTTAAGCGGATTTCGTTTTGATTCAAGCAAAAATCCGATTGAATCAAGATTATTTTTTCTTGTCAATGTTTTCAAGAGTCTGGACTCTAGATCCAATGTGTTTTTTTTCCAGTGATGAGAGTTACTGAACAAAAATATTAAGACGGATTATTTCAGGTTGAAAGCAAAGGTTCAAGATTGAAAAGTTGTATCTCGCTCAGCAAAATCGAAAGTGAGGTTATTTCCACCTGATACAAAAATTGACCCGAAGTTCATTGAACCGATTCGGAAATACTTGGTTTCGATAATAATTCTCATCTTAGTGTCTACCACGTTACCACGAGTATTTATTTCCCTTGTTTTAAGATGAAACGCCTATGTGTCTCAGGACTAAGCAAAAAAGAGCGAGTTTTTGGCACATACGCTGTACTTTTTCTTTACGAGGTTGAAATTTCAAAAGCGCGTATAAAAATTAATCGAGCTCCTCACTGCATTCGTAAATTACTTTTTTTTCCAGGGAAATCAGAGGAGGGTAACGTTATTGATGTTTGACATGGATCAATCAAATGTTGGCCAATGTTGGAAACGTGCACCCGTGGGGAGGGGGAGGGAGTTGGTAAAACGGGTAGCTAACCCTTCCCCCGCCATAACTAAAATATTTTCTAAAGAAAGGTAATCTATCGCAATTATCAGAGCCTCTTTCCTTTTAATCCCCTACCCCTTTTAATGTTATATAAATGTTCACGCATAGAGACACCCCGATTGCATGAAAATTCTGGCTATCTCTTTGGTTGCTGATAAAACTCGGCATATCCTCTCCCTTTCCCCCCACCCCCATTAACACTCCAATGCATTGTAACTTCTAACAGATAATGAAGAAATTCTATTTTAAACATAGACTGGGTCACATATATCTAATATGACAACGGCGACCATTGTGTCTGTTCTCTGTAGCCTAATCCATTGGATTGCGATTCGACTGGAGGCTGAAAGATTAGGCCAGTAGTCTAGCGGAGGGTGCAGCGGGCCCCTCGATAGAAATGATAGAATGGGTCGTTACAGGCGTGAAATCTCCGCTGATTGAAAAGCGCCGAGAGGACAATCGCATCCATTGTCGGCCGCTTGATCGTCATCCTCCGCGGCAAGGATCAGCGCAACGCCTTGCGCGCGCATCACCGCAGGTGCACAGTAAGAAAAAGCAACTGACATTTTACGTTGATATGGGATTAAGTAGAACATAACGTTACTTAATCGTGCGGCTAATTTCCTTTTGGTTAGTTTTATCTTCGGGTTACACTCACCAAATCTTCGGGTTGCATTGACAAACCTTTGATTTGAAATATTGCGACGTCCTTACACTCAGGTGCGAGTGGCTAGAATCAAACCTGGGGCCGAATTTTGTCGGTCCGTCCATCGTACTTAAATATACTTAGGACGAGTCTCGACTGCGCTTAAGTCCGGCTTAGCGCTTCTGATTGGCCGGCGGTGCGGTTTGAACTCATCGATGGATGTTGCACTCCGTGTGATCGCTCATTGATGATACCCAATCGCAAGTCATAACCTCGTCTCGTACAAGAATATATTGGTTCAGCAAGACACTGTCTTTTTGCCCGGATATTTCAGACTTTGACTTACGGTTTTGGCCGATTTTTTGTCGATCAACCAATAGTTGAACTTACCGAAAAAAGTAACTCACAAAAAGTAGGTAAGTCAAAGTAACCGTAAACTCTGAATTTTTAGTCACGAGAGTGCGAAACCACCTTCAAAGCCGCCACCACCGGTTCACGCTAGAGAGAGTAGAATGTGGCGGATGTGGTGGAATTAGCGATTTGAGAAAATCGATTTCTGAGTTCATCAATTTGTTTTTATCAAGGAAATCGATACGATTTAAAAATCGACGGAAAATAATAGATTTCCCCTAGTATTAATGCCTTCGACTTTTAAAACCGCGATAAGTTTCCTCCAAAATTACGTCATATTCGTCGATGCTTTGAATTTCAGCTCAAAATTTCAAAGAAATTGTTTGATTTTAATCGTTTAAAATGGAGTTAAAAAATTGACTTTTTTTCAAATCGATCCCAAAAAATGGATGCTATTTTCTCGATTACTGCGCTAAAACATCGATGAGCTGATGTAAGATATTTGTAAACTAAAGGGTTTTTTCACTCGGTCGTATTATTTTGACTTACTTAATTCTTTTTGTTTTGGTCCGACCCGTTGTTTATATTATTTGATTACACTATGGCAATTCGCCATTTCGAGTTCAGCGACTCATATTCAGGTGTACAAAAACATTTCGCGATAATTCCGCACGATAAGTTTTGACGTGCGGTGTTATCGTGAAATGTTTTTGCACGCACCTGAAGATGAGTCGCTGAACTCGAAATGGCCACAGTGTAACCAAAGAATATAAACTAAGGATCGGACCAAATCAACAAGAACGTAAGTCAAAATAAAGTAATATATTTGTTATCGCTAACCTTGTTCTTTTCGGCGCTATATACGGTAAGGATATGTTTCAATGTACTGCAAAGCTTTCTCCAAAATTTTTTAAATTACTCTCCGCCATAATATGGTGGACACTTCAAAAACCAGATCCAGACGTATCGGCACTTGAGGAGGATCTCTTGTTGCAGTTGAAAAAGCGGGGTTGTCCCTGCTAAAAATGACCATGTTGGTGCCTTTAGAATTCTACAGGGTCTTTTTAAGGTACCTACCGTCCCCTTCTAAATTTTGAACCGTTCGAGATAGAAAAGTGAAACTTTAGGAATGCTTTTACCATGAAAAGGGACCATCTTCTAAGGGATTAAAATTGTGGCTCCTTCCTCAGGGAAGGGAAGGCAATTTATTATCTAATGGCAACCCCTATCTTGTGATATCTCATTGCAAAGGACATGAAAAACTAAGAATTTTTCCGCAAACCGCGGAACAATATCTTAATTTTTGACCGAGTTGATAGGTCAAAGGTCAATTTGAACCCATATTCAAGAAGTTAGAACTTCAGCTTAAATAATCGTAGAAAAAAAATAAAACGGTAAAATTGACCAAATTTCAAGCATTTTTAAGTAAAAATTTTAATAATTAAGGGAGAGTTAGGGAACCGATTCTCCGAGTCCCCGGATGGTTCGAAGGGCCAATTTTTCTGCAGCATTCTTTGGATCCCTCCACGGATTCACTTGAACTCTCCCGCCATGTGTCACTTGAAAACAAATCAATGATTTGACAACTAGCAGTGTTTATTCCGAATTTGCGTAATTAATTAAATCGATTTTAAGAGTCCAAATTATTGCAATCAGCTTTGTGAAAAGCATAACTTCTTCAGATATGTTTGTGCTTTAGCTCTCTCTTCTGCTGCACAACTTCGCCGAAATGTTTTGTTTTCCATTAACTTTTTTCAATTCTGAATATTGTGAATATGCATCACATGGACGTGTCAGGCTTTATACTGGTAATTTTTGAACGATTTGTTTCGGCTGTATGGATGTAGATTCTGTATCGTCTAATGTTGGCGATGGAAGCGTACAACCAAAATGGTTGTTCGTTCATGTCAATAATTCAGATCTTGAGGTGTATACTTTAAATGTAGGTATACAAATACATTCCTGATTGATATTAAAATTTGTCAGAATGGCGCTGGTAAAGCTACGGACCGAATAATTCTTGAAAATCGGAAATTCCTGGTAACATACGACTTTTCAAGAACTTTAACCGTATTCTAAGTAATTGACGGAAAAAGTGCCTCAGTACCTGATACTTTTTCTGGACAAAATGTTGGTGAATTCTTTAGAAAAGCGTTATAATCTCCCAAAAAAGTAAATTGATGGCGTTCAAATGCAATGAAAAGGTGCTGGAAAATTGGTAATTATACAGATTTTTTTCAGGGAACTAGGGGTACTTTGACCACGTGTAGATTTCGAAAAATTAACTTACATGTTTCAATAAGAGGACTACACTGCGGCAGAAGGGATAATCCAAGGTTAGACCGGTATGGCACAAGAACACAACACTGGCACAAATTCACTCACACGTACCGCGAAGAACTTACACAAAAATACACATTTTGAGGTTAGACGAGCGGAATCACATGGCAAGCATACTATGCGCGTAGGTCGCGACAGACTGACGAAGGCGAGGTGCGGCGCGCGAAGCGGTGCTCTGCGCCCCCCCCCCCCCCCCCNAAACTCGGCAGGTCTTCGGGAGACCGGTCCTGGATTCCGCGGATACCGTGGCGGTCATGCCGAATAGATCGTATATCGATTTGATGAGTCCAGCGAATAGGTCCATTGTCAGTTAATCAATTGTTGACGAACACGATGTTAATTTTGAGCCTACCCAGGCATGATTTTCTGTTCGAGAAAGAGAGAAAAAACAATCGGGAACGCTGTAATACTTAGGTATAAGAGAAATGCTCAGTGATCAGCGCGATTTTAAGCTTGATTTTCTTTATATTACCTGTTTATGTTTAAATTTACAATGATAAAATTCAGTAGTTCTTTACGTGTTATTATGAAAATATCCAACATGGTACTTTTTCCTGCCCCCTCCCCCACATGAAAAATGCCAAGATCTGAGAAAAAATATTTCCATTGCGTAGGTATATATGGTATAAATTATTACATAAAAAATATTGATTTGTCATAAAAACTGAAAGAATTGTTATGGTGGTTCCTTAAAAAAAAAAAAAAAAAAAAAAAAAAAAAAAAAAAGAACACGAAGACGACACTCAAACTAAATTAAAACAGTTGTTCTAATGTTGTCATATTAGGACAACTGGAAAAAGTAGGTAAAGAAATGAGAGAAATAAAATATATTGTATTAGAAAAATTTAAGACGCGATGGCGTGAGCCGTAAAGAATTAACTCGCAAATTCTATTATATGTTACGAGTGAGAGTTGGGAGAAAAACTTAAAAACGAGGCCGGATTGCTTCTTTCCCATCTTCAGCTGTGTTGCTCACGTAGTCCTTGAAGGAGCACTACCAATAAGACAAATGAAACCAACACAATAAGGAAATGGAGCAAGGGAAAAGATGCGCGTTGACGACGGCGCAGAGATACGACTGTTCGTGCTTGATGGATGTTTGTGCGGCATCTGCAAAATTGAAGGCGCAAATAGTTTGAATTCGCGATGCTCCACTTTATGCTGCCAATGCGGAATAAGGTGTCGCTCAGATCCGGGAGAAAATTTAAAATACGAGGCTGGATTACTTATTTCCCATATCCGGCTGTGTTACTCAAATAGCCCTTGAAGCAGCACCACAAATGAGACAAACGAAATCAACACAATGTGTAAATGTAGCAAGGGAAAATATGCGCGTTGACGACGGCGCAGAGATACAACTATTTCTGCCTGATGGATGTCCGCGCTGCATCTGCAAAATTGAAGGCGCTGTGGCGCGAGGCGTGAACTCGCATAGCTTTGCTGTATGCTACCAATGAGGTGTCGCTCAGATTCGGGAGAAAAGTTAAAGAAGAGGCCCGAGTACGTCTTTCTTGTGTTTGGCTGTGTTGGCACTCGATTCTTTCTTTTTTCGGACACAGTTTTTTAAGGAAGACTCAAGTCAATTCGACCCGAGTCTTCCTAAAAAAACGTGCCACGCGGATTGTATGGAGCAGGGTGTTTAGATGTGTGTCTATAAATCCATCCTGAAAAATAATAAGATATGAACCTGAAAATGAAGAGAGAATCGAGTGCCAACACAGCCAAATACGGGAGATACGTACTCGGGCCTCTTTTTTAACTTTTCTCCCGAATCTGAGCGACACCTCATTCGTAGCGTATAGCGAAGCTATGCGAGTTCACGCCTCGCGCCACATCGCCTTCAATTTTGCAGATGCAGCACGGACATCTATCGAGCAGAAATAGTTGTATCTCTGCGCCGTCGTCAACGCGCATCTTTTCCCTTGCTCCATTTCCATATTGGATTGGTTTCGTTTGTAGTGCAACTTCAAGGAACACAGCTGAAGATAGGAAAGAAGTAATCCGGCCTCATTATTTAACTTTTCTCCCCACTCTCATTAGCAGCATATAAAAGAAAATATCGAGTTCATACTCCACTGCTAACGCCATCGCGCCTTAAATTTTTCATGAGCAATACGGACATCCATCTAGCACGAATAGTTGCATTGCGGTCAGGTGTTTATTATTTTTGAAAGTTAAGGATAAGTTTGTTCAAAATATGCTATGGTGTGTCCAAATCAATGGTCATTTTGAAAAATTTCTACCCCAAGAAACAACCCCAAAATTTAAATTTTCCAGCATTGTAAAAGACACCGGCGCCTCTCGGGCCTCCTTCCGGTTTATAGTTCCTTAACCCCCGTTAACGACTACCATTCGAGCACCTTCCTGAACTCTTTACTTCCTCTTCTCTCGTTCATTCATGAATCGTTTATGAAGATAAAAAGCTTGAGCAGAACGAAAAACTGACGATGACGTCCGATGTCAGAAATCAATTGGATTGCATTTAGCACCAAGGAACCAGCGCGATTATAGTGTTGTAAAAATGTTGCTTCCACGTAATTATCTAAAAATTCTCCCAGATTAGCGAATAGTTTTGGCTTCCTTACAAAAAATTGTTAATTTCAAAGTAAAAGAATTGTGTAAATTTGAACTCTGTACATACACGGATAAAAAAGAGCACGAGGTTGTTGGAGGACATGGAAATTTCCAATTAATTGTTGCAGAACCCTTATTACTTGCGGTAGTGCCCCAATTGATTGTGTCAGTACTCCAATAAATTAGGTTACTGATCCAAATATTGCGGTACAACCTCAGCTTGAGTTGCGGTACTACTGCAATTAATTGGAAAACTACATATCATCCAACAAATTGGGGTAGTAGCACAATTTTAGGGGATAACCCCTTGCACTTATTTTTCCGTGTACATATGAAGTATTTTCAAAAGAAGAGGAGAAGTTACACCATAAAACATTGTAATCGCGCTGGAACCTATATGGCTAAATGCGACTTAAGTGATAATCAAGACAAAAAATCGGTGACCCCGGTTGTGTCAGTTGGTTGCGCGTGGGGCGCTCGGCGCTCTGAGGCGGCGGTCGGGCGAAACTCACTAGCCATAAAACGCCGCGGAGATCGACAGAGCGACTCGGTGTAACGCGTGTTGCCAGTGGGCGAGTTGACGGAGGATCTTTCGGATCTCCTCCTGAGGTTCGGCAAAAGCGGGAACAAGGAATCTCGAGATTAGCGTAGAATCGATTGCGCGTCATGTGGCTCGCCTGCGCTTCTTAAGCTGAGGAGCGGTTATGAGTGTTACTGACCGTTTGGCAAAAGTTCACCGACTGCGCGTTTTTCGCTGATCTCGCAAACCAGCGGACTCGCGGAGCTTTTTGGACCAGAAAATCGGACTCCTCGGATCATTTCCAATGGGATTACATTGGGAAACTTCTCGTCAATATTGAAGAAAACATTGGGGAAAAATTGGGATCAATAAGAAACAATACTTACAGATTTTTATTTTTATTTTATGACAAATTATCATAGCACTTTTTACTTTCGTTTTATCTGATCTAACGTGAAACGTACAGTTGAGTGGAGGATGGTAGTCTCATTTGTCTTCGTTTTTTACTAAATGCATAAATCCACACAGCAAAGAGCCGACTCACTGTTTTAGAATCATAGTTGAGTGCAGCTGTCCAAAATGAGAACGCCTCGGGTCGGATCAGGATTTTCCGTGTATTTTAAAAAAAATTCTCTCACTACTGCTCTCTTGTACTTTGAATTAATTTTCATATTCGATAAATCCAAGGTATGGCACGGTTGTCTTTGATATACGTAGACTTCACCAAGTCGCTGCCTCCTAAAAATGTGTAGGCGCAGTAATTTACATGGGCTGTCCCGAAACAACTGAAAATATGCCTGGTTGTGTGAAAAAATCATCATCCATTGTTAACTATGCGGCACATAAGAAGTTGTACCCAGTACTCTTAGCTTGACAATGAGACCTTGTTTAGCTCATTAAGTTAAACATTCACTGACAATGAGTTACAGCAATTTTATGGAAGCTTGTAAAGAAAAATTCTCCAGAATTTCGGACAGATGATAATTATTAGTTGGACGCATGTGAAACATTGTTGCGGAGATAACTTGGCTGTAATTTGAGATGACCGGCATTTGTCAGTCCAAGACTCCTAGTTATTTTTCAATTTTTTTACTTTTAATTTTTTTTCAACAATTCTAAAAGTTTCTCTTTGTTTATGGTTACCCAACAGATTTGATACCCAGGTTTGGTACCCGACATATTTTGTGGAACTCAAGTTAAATTTGCAAAATCTTGAGATAAACTCCTGTTCAAAATTCCAAAGGGTTTTTCTATGTACGCTTTCATAAAATTGCTGCAATTTGGTGGATACCTAAATTTCAATTTTAATCGTTTAATTTTTAAATTTATAAAAGTTTAATCATTTGAAACTAAGCGAAAGAACTAAAACTTCCAAGAAACCATAACTTTATTCCTAGTTTATTCGTCTAAAATCAAGCCAACTGTCAGTTTTTTTGGGACAGTCTATGTATTTTCCGCTGTCAAAAACTGAAGGCTAGGAAAAAATTATCTGTTTGTGAAAATAAGGATCAAAGTTGTACCATTAAACTAGACTTTCACACAGAGGTTGTATAGGATTGTATAGGTTGATAGGTTGTTTAGGACTAAAAATTCAAATATATTTTTCTCAATTTAATTTAGAAGTATGTTGGTTAATTTTTACTTAATTTGAACCACAGAAGTTTTCACATAAAAACTGTGAAAACAGGTATTTTAGGGGTATACATAAAAAGACAACTTTATTTTGGTGGGAATTTATTGATGTTCTTTCTACGTTCATGATCAGATTTTCAATTATAAAAAGGGAATAACGATTGATTAAAAGTACAAAAATTAAGAGGACAGACATTTTAAGAGAAATGATAAAAGATATTTGACCAAGATTTTTTTTCAGTGCACCTGTTCATGAAATGACTAATAAAAATCTGGCACAAATCTATAAAATAAGAGAACCGGTTAAATTTAGAATTTGCCGAACTACATGATTTGAAATTGATTCTAGAATCGTGTACCTATAATAATCTAAAGGGTACTGAAAAAAACGTGACTTGAATTTGCCACCAAGAAGATTTCCTGTTAAATCAAGAATGAAAACACGCTAATCAACTGGTTTTTGGTTGATGAGTAACTTTCTTCTTTACACAAGCATCACCTTTTCTTCTGAATTCAAGATACGCTTTTCTTGACAGAAAATTCAATTATAATTTGACCTCAATCAAGTCATATTTTTCCCAGTGTAGCTTTGATTTACAAATATCTTTCATCAATTACGCACGCCAGCATTAATTTGCAGGAATGAGAAATCCGAGGCTAATTCTGATCTCATCAAATGCGCAAGAAAGTAGAATCATACTGCTCAAATCAAAATCATTAATGAAGAGATAAACGCACAAATGAAACAAAAGAACCAGCTCTCTATTTCTGTTTGCACTCCTTTGCAGTAAAATGAATTCCAAAAAACAATTCAAAGTCAAATTAAGTTTTTTCTTGGAAATTTGGTCATAAAAGCTTCTCATGTGGGGTTTGTATCACATTTGGGTGAGCCCTTAGCACACTAGATAGCATACAATATATCTCTGTAAAAAATATTAACCTCTAAATTATTTACAAATGTACACTCAGTTATGTAAATGGTGGGAGATTAAAAATATTAAACATCTAATCTCGGATTGTCACATTCGTGTCTTTAAGTCCTTTCATTGGAGGCATGAGAAAAAGACGTGTACCTTAGGTATAAATGGAAAGAATATTTGTCTTGAATGAACAGATTGTTAATTTCTCACATTGAAAGACATAACATTAGAAGTCTTAACGCTCTGGATTAATTAAATAAACTCATTCCGTCTACTTACATTGCTAAGTCAAGAGGGTTAATTCAGGACCAGCACCAAAATCTACCAGCTAAGTACAAAACTCAAGCTTGGAACGAATGGTCAGGTTGATACTCAGCTTTTTGCCTCGCCTAGTGCTTCTTTTTGCTTAAATTTCATTCATTTCGAGTATGGGATATTTTTGAAAAGCCGAAATGTCAATCTCTAGATCATTTTTAATTTTTTTTTACACAGATAGGTAATCAACGTTTTAATCCTTCAAAGTAAGTTAAAGAAGGATGTATCTGATATTAAGCCAATTGATAGTAAATTTTGCACATTGTTTATACTTTCATCTTAAGATTTTGAAATATTATTTGAGGTAGGTACCTACAAATCCTTTAGAATGATTGATTAAGAGATTTACCTGCATTTGGATTCTTCTGAAATGAGCAAACGAGTGGTTAAAATGAAACCTACGGATATGTGACAATACTGCTCAAAATCCATTATGTCAGAGCTGAGGATCAAAAAACTAGGGCAATTAAAGGATATTACAGATAAAGGAGAGTTCGAAATAATTTAAGGTAATGGTGATTTAGAGTGAGACTCATAACGAGTCATGTCTTTTCTTTGAGAGAATTGAAAAGCTTGGATAGGACAAGGCACACGAGTGAGGCTTTTGCTTCTGAAAGAATTGAGATATTAATGAGTTCAACCAAGACTAGTCTTAAAGCACGAGTATATTCCGTGAAAAATTCACTTCCAAATTCCAATTTTGTTGCATCAAGAAATGAGTTTTAACTTTCTTTCCACCATACATAGGCGGTTCTACGGGGGTGCCAGTGGGTGCCGGGCACCCCCAAGCAAAAATTAAGTACGGTTCTCGAAACCGTGAAATTACTGCTTTTAATGATTCTGTATTCACTCCCACTGAGAAAAAATCCCAGCAATGAATTAAAAATGTTTTAAACAGAATTAATATTGATAGCCGTGTTTTACAAAAATGTTACTGTTTTTTTTTATGGTAAGATTGTAGTTTTGATGGAAAGTTTTGCTAACAATTTTCTACACTGAATTTATATGTAGGTATTTAAGTAGAAAAGAAGGAGAGAAAAAGAGAAAGGAGGGTAGGAAAGGGATAAAACTTGAGGACCGAAAAGGCCTCCCCTGAGCAACCGTCGCCTTCGGGGCCGGTCTCCGACATTTTCCACCTCTGGGCACCCCCCAACATGAGGGTCTAGAACCGCCTATGGCTTACATGTAATTTTGAAACTTTAAAATTAAAGTAAGAAGTATTTCTTGTAATAGGAAGAACTACACTTATGTGGCTTGTCCTCGTGGCCCCTCAAATCTTATTTTATTGCCTTAATATTCAAGTCTCAAGCTTATTTTATGTTGCAAGGTTCAATGCAATTCTTTGACTGTAAGTGAGGTTTTTCTTAAGTCTTAAGTTTCTTAAGTCTTTAAGAAGTCACAAGAGTCCCTCATCCATGATACTCTTTAATTATTATAAAAATTCAGTGTAGGAGTATTTATCCATTCAACGACTGATTCTTTGAAAACGATGTAGAAATTAAATGAATGGTAGTGTCATTTTTGCAGAACCAACATTTCAGAAGAAATTTCTTCTCTTAATGGTCGAGAATTATATCCCGACTTCCACATCTTCAAAAATAAACTCTTACTTAAAGTTATACATTTCTATCAGAATAGTCTTCGTCATTAACAAAGGTATCGGTAACTTTGTGGTTTAGAAATTTGTACAACTGCTTGAAGGTGGGCCGCTGCTCTTGATCTCTGCTCCAACAGTGACACATTACCTCATAGATTTCTGGTGGGCATGAGTTGGGTTTAGCAAGGAAAACCTGAAAATAGGGGAAAAAGTAGGAATTAATTTGGTTTTTCTTTCTGTTCATAAGTTTCAGAGTTTGTGCAAATTTCACTATATTCTGGTTTGACTCGTTCAACCTGAAACATCCGGTGATCAACTCCAGCTGGATATTACATTAAAATCGATTTCCAATTCCGGTGAGAAAATTACGTCCACTTACCTCAGCAAATAAAAAAGAATGACTAAGGTAACCTTATTTAGAACCATTAATTTTACAAATTATAATGAGGTAATTCTCTTTATTTTACCTACTTTATTTTTGAAATGATATTAGAGACGTACAGAATAACTTTTTCCATTTACCTGAAGCTCACTGCCGTAATACATATGCTCGGCATTTTGAATGACTTGCTCATTAGTAAAATGCGTAAAAGGCCTCTCTCTGGCTAGACTGTAAAGCTCCCATAATGTGACACCAAACATCCAAACACTGCTGGGACATGTATATTTGTCCTGGAAAGAAAATTTGACAGTTAGGAACAATACTTGGTTAACAGATCACAGAAATATTGTGCTTTCAGCAGATCTCTGACATTAAACAAATAAATCTTCCGAAAATATGCACTTCTATTCATGTTGAATAGTGTTTTATCTCTCCTTCTGTGCACACACCTACGATGAACGCAGAAGAAAAACGGGGTAAAAAAAAACACTAATGTGTGATCAATTTTCAAGGACAATTCTGTAATTTCCCTTACGATTTTAAGTAGATTAAAACGCATTATATCCAATTTCTAAGCTCAGATTCGGATTCCTCGTGAAAAATTGATGAGATTTCATGTAACTTATGTAAGAATAGCGTGAAGGAAAAAGGTTTAACGACGCGTATGGATTCTGTCATACCGCCCCTTTGAACTACCCGCGCTGGCGCTAACAAGCGTTCGTTTTCGTCCCGAGGCATTCCTCACGATAAATTATTATTCTTCCTCCTCCGCTGACCCACTGAGCACTACCCATGTTGCCACGTTGCATTCATATGCTCGAATCAGTATTTCTACGTTACGTCTCTTCCCTTCACGCTATGCTCGGGTATGATACATCAAATTGCATCGATTTTTAACGAGGAATCCGAATCTGACCTTCGATTTTGGGTATCACGCCTTTCAAGTCAAATTTTTTAAATTCAAAAATCAGAAATGACGGACGTAGCCTAAAATGCCATTGCGGCTCCTGTTCGCTGGATTTTTCTGAAAATCGGTGTGAGGGTATGATAAATGAAATCGCATCGATTTTTTACGAGAAATCAGAATCTGAGCTTCGATTTTGGGTATCACGCGTTCTAAATAAAAATTCAAAAAAATCAAAATTCGAAAATCCGAAATGACTAAAGTGGCTTATAATGCTATCTCGGCTCCTGTTCCGATGGATTTTTCTGAAATTAGGTGTCAGAAGGTACTTTTTGACGGGAAACTCGAATTTTTAGTCAATTTTTTAAAATTCTCAAATCCAAGATGGCGGACGTGGGCTAAAATGCTATCTCGGTTTCTGTTTGTTCGAGTCTTGTGAAACGCGGCAATATATGATATTTTACAACGGGAAACTCGAATTGTTAGTCAATTTTTTAAAATTCTCAACAAGATGTTGGATGTGGCCTAAAATTCTATCTCGGTTTCTGTTCGTTATAGAGATTTGTGAACCGCGGGAGCACGGGTACTTTTCGACAGGAAACTCGAATTTTCAGTCAAGTTTTAAAAATTCTCAAATCCAAGATGGCGGACTTAGCCTAAAATGCTATGTCGGCTCCTGTTCGATGGATTTTTCTGAAACTCGGTATCTGAGGGTATTTTTCGACGGGAAACTCGAATTTTTAGTCAATTTTTGAAAATTTTCAATTCCAAGATGGCGGAAGTGGCCTAATGCTATCTCAGTTTCTGTTCGTTCGAGTTCAGTGAAACTCGGTATCACGGGGCATTTTTCGACGGAAAACTCAAATTTCTTGTCAAATTTCCAAAATTCGTAAACCCAAGATGGCAGCCGTGGCCTAAAATGCTATCTCGGCTCCTGTCGGTTTTTGTGAAACTTAGAAAAAGGGGAAATCATTCCAATCAAATCTTCAAAATTTGAAAATGATGATGGTTAGAAACCAGAGCATTGTATGGCGGGTTATGAAAAACAATTTTTCGCAGGAACAAAGTAACCTGCTTCTTCAAAAATAGCAACTTCACACTCATAAGTATAGTGAAGAAATTTTAAGCCAGGATATTTTTTAACTGACAGTAGGTTTTGCATGTGAGCTTTTGATGAGACGCTCGCAAATTATATTCTATTTGTGCCTCCTATACATCATTCATTAATTTGGGTTCGGTTGAATATTTTCATTTTACTCACCAGAAGCACGCTCTCCCAAGGTAACCATCGTATAGGAGCTGGTGGTCGGATCCCAACTTCTACATAATCCGTTTTATATATTGTATTGCACATTGCTAAGTCACCTACTTTTACTTGGTACCCTCGGCTCACGAGACAGTTCCTGAAAAAATGAACAAAAATTAAAATGAAATAACTGGCGAGAAGGGTGAAAATTTAAAGCTTGTATTGATTTGACCACGAGGGCACATATCTTCTTCCAGTCCTTAAATGAGTATTTTTCGTTTATAATTATAATTGTCATCAGTCTATTTTGAAGTTATGACAGGTATTCTTCTCTTTACATCAGCCTAGGAAAATTCAGGAAACACCAATAATTTAGATTCCATCACTTTATTTTCGGCACTTTTATTGTTGCTCTTTCTTTTTTTGTTATTTAACACAAACGATTGGCAAAGAAGGAACAAGAGCAATCTCTAAAATTTCATTAACTTTCTTTTATTTTTTTATCCAACATAGAATATTACAGATTAGTGAATACATGCATGAGTTGCAAAGTTGGCTTACCTGGCGGCTAAATCCTTATGAACTACATTCTTAGATTCTAAATATCGCATACCCGACGCTATTTGTGAAGCCATGTATGTCATTATGCTACACCTGTTAGGACAATAATAATTTAGTTCAGAAATCATAAAATTTAAGTTAAAATTAAGCTATCCAAGTTGATGAAATGGTAATTTAGCGATTACTTTTTTTAATTATTATTTGGTTTGTCTTTTTCATAGGTAATGTAGTGCAGACTAATTTTGACTAGGTATTCTATCAGAGTTCCTGAATGAATTTTCTCAGGCTAGGAACCGACAGCACCCACATGTCCAACTTACTCGATTTACAGATGAAGTCATTCAATCCAAAAATTTGCAAATTTTAAAGTTGTGACTGTCTACAGGGAAAGAGATTTTAATTGACAGAGGCATTAGAATTTTTTGTCGCTTAGGATTGGAATTTGAATTAGGAGCTTTTGGCAAAAACTTTTTGATAAAATATTGATCCTAAATAAAAAGTTGCGAGCAATATGCGCCTCGTTTACAGACAATAAAAAGCGTAAATTTTGTCACAGTCCAACAATTTTGTACCCTGAAAGATTTCCCTCTCAAAATTTTCGTAGAACACTCATTGATATTGGTGATTGATTAAAAAATCGAGTCACAAGCAAGAATAAATCGAATAATTATTTTGGCTTGTAGCTCGATTTTTTTTAATAAATTACTATGTCATAAACAACTCAGCCAGCCAAATTTGGCAATAAAATGTGCTCCTCGATATTTCAGTATGAGTACCTGACTCAATTTTGAGTTTTCAGTGGACCAAGGTCCTTTTTCGCGAAGAGGATTAATTTTGTGTAATATTTTAGCCCTGGTTACACAGTAAATTTACATTTTTCCCTTTCTAACACTGGAAAAAAAAGTCGCTTGGATCTAGACTAGGGTCAAAACTCTTGAAAACATTGACAAAAAAAAATACTCTTGATTCAATCAGATTTTTGCTTGAATCAGAGGGAAATCCGCTTACATCAAGAGGCTTGGCGCTCGATTTAAGCAAACATCCGATGGACCCAAGAGCATTTTATCTTGTCAATGTTTTCAAGAGTCCGGACTCTAGATCCAAGCGACTTTTTTTTCCAGTGAATGAAATATGGACTCACGATAGATTGTCAGTGGTTCTGAGAAGTTGCGCCAAATCCCCCATCTCGTTCGGGTACTCCATTACGGTCCAGGGAGGTTGCTCAGCAGTACAAACGCCCAGGATTCTGACGATATGCGGGTCTATGAGACTAGACAGGAAGCGGAGCTCCCTCACGCTGTCCCCCCGACACGTTCGCACTGCAACTTTGTCCACGTTCAGATCGATTTCGTCCGTGTCGCAAATTATCACCTGAAATCATTCAAAACTTTACATTAATGGGCTTTTACAGTTTGTATGATGAGTGAGGTGTGACTCAATGTTGTTTAGGGGTAGCACAAACCCTGGGATCATAAATTCTAACGCAAGAACGAAAACAAAGTTAGCGCTCGTTCCATTTTCCGAGTATGCAACTTGAACAGTTAATGAGCTGGGATAATTGCATTCAGAATTCAGCCTGAAAACTTTTCTTTCATTTAAAATCATTCAAAACTTTATACATATATTACGGACTTTTACGGTTTGTATGATGAGTGAGGTGTGACTCAGTGTTGTTTAGGGGTAGCACAACCTGTGAGATCATAGCTTCTAACGCAAGAACGACAAAAAAGTTAGCGCTCCTTCAATTTTTCGCGTATGCAACTTGAACAGTCGATGAGCTAGGATAGTTGTTTATCCGCAAAGCACACAGCATTTAATGCAGTTTTCTAAAAATTGGCAACCTGATTCGTGGTTTCTATGCTGACATTTTGGTTGTTAGAGCTTCAATCTTGATGCGTAATAAAATCCACATGATCGCAAAAAAAAAATAAAAAATAAATAAATAAATAAAAAAAGTAAATTTTTTTTTTCAATCTATTTGCAAAACATTTTTCAAGCTGTTTAAATTTAATTCTGTTTATATGAACTCAGCTTACTCCTTGCTTTCACAAATGATACCTAAAGTTGCTTTTACGGGAAAGAACCTGTCAGACTGACGTACAATAGAGGCAACGTATCGCGACGGCGTAAGTCCGCAATCACAAATCTCATTTGCGGTGTATAAAAATCTCCGCCTCTATGTTATTTTTTTAAATGAGAACAAATTGACATCATTCCTTGAAGTTTTTGCGGAATTTTCTTCGCACAGAGAAGAAAAATCACGGCAGTTTTAAAGAATCGCCGTTGAGTAGTTTTCCGTTTAAAAAATAAAGTATGACAGGAAGTCTGTGACGTCGCAAACCGAGTTATATGTGATTGCCCATTTAGACCGTCAATATCTGGAACGAGGCGTCAATATGTGGTTTTAAGAGATCTGAACTGGAAATAAGCTTGCTTTAATCTTAATAAGAAAAATATACTATGAGTGGTTTTAAGGGAACACGTTTTTTTCGGATGGATAGAAATCAACTGAAATATTGAGAATATATTTACCTCTCCCAAATGGCAATGACCAAGACGGTGAGATACTTTCAAACAATACCTTGGAATAGGCACCAAGTCACCCTGTCTGCATTTGTAGACCTGTCCCATCGCAGGAGCTATATTCCACGACACAGAAGGCACTGACATCTGTAAGATAAGTGAGACAAAGAGATATGAGAGCACATTCTTGTACACATTTTAATTTGTACACGTATGTGACCCCTATAATTTATCTTGCAATTTTATAATTTTTTATGGAGATTTTCTGTTTTGATTTATCTAATAATTTGTGACAAACGCACAGGGGGCCTCCATCCCCATTCGCCCGAAAAAAGAGAAGAAAGAAAGAAGGAAGGAACAGAGGAAAGACGAAGGAAGGACGCTTATATGTAGTAATTATTCATGACGAAATTGACTCAAACTGAATGTTAAATGCTTTAAAATTTCGAAAATTTTCTGGAAAAAGCCCCACTCCTCCGGACCTCTCTTCCACCATTGCCGTTTGAAGTGTCTGGATCCGCCTATGGACATATGTTCATTTAAAGTGGTGGACCCTCGTAATTATATGTTAAATACAAATGAAAACCACTCATTTCAGGAATAATCTTAAATCTATTGAACGCAAAAGATACAGCTAATTACGTAGACTTGTAGGGTAAAATTGCGCGAAAGTCACATTAAGAAAATAGAAATGTCTACAGCATTATCTTTATTCGTCTCATTCACTAACAATTAGATTTGCCCTCGAAGAGATTATTGACAAGGATTTGACACCAGTAAAAATGGGCGATCGATCGTCAATGATTGACGATTAATCGCCAGAGACGGGCGATCAAATCATCGACATTGGCAACAGTCATCACATTTTCGCGCATATGGTGTATCTGCCTGGATTCGATTACTCTGTCACCTAGGGCCAGATTTACCTACTTGCCCATGGGCCGCCTGTATTTTGCCGCCCCTCATTCTCATTCGTTTTGAAACATCGATACAAACTATCAAGTGAACGTGCCGGAGAAGGAGGGGTGCATAAGACGCGTTTACTCGTGTTGGGCACATTTTTTGTGAAAGCTGTGTCAACACTAGCAAAATTTCACGGAACTTTGCGCAAAAATTAAGTTCCGTAAACCTATCTCTGTGTGGACAAGTCCTCTCATTTATAAGAAAAGGACGAAAAAATTATGAAGGAATAAACATGAATGTGGTTTAATGATTTTAATTTCCTCCACCAACCGCACTGTGTTCGACGCAATGCGTGAAGTATTCATGCAGTCTTGTAGGCGCTATGCGTTTCACGCCGACCGTCGCTGACCGCACTACGTTTGACGCAATGCGTGAAGTATTCATGAAGTCTTGTAGGCGCTAATATGTGTTTCATGCTGACCGGCTGCGCGCCGAGGGCTTCTCCTTTCCATCTCAAGGCCTCGTCATCGTTGCTCTCTGCGCCGCGCCGCTCCAGGCCAAATTGCGTGTTTAGTTTCTCTCTCGACTAGACTAATGAGGGGCGCTGTCTTTTGTATCACCGAGAGACGAAAAAATTAGAAATTACTATACTTTACCTCTCAGGAAATGAGAGATTTTGTCGCCTTTTCTCGTTTATGATTTTTTTTCTTAATCAGATTTTTTTCTTGATACCTATATTTGAAAAAAAGTACAACTTTTGCCGCCCCCTAAATTTGCCGCCATGGGCCGCGGCCCATGTGGCCACCCCCTAAATCCGGCCCTGCTGTCACCACACAATTTTCGGTGTACATTTTCACGTACTTTAATTTTGCTGTTGCCAAGAGGAATTCCAATTTTTACTTTCTGTACAAAGGTGGATGTAAGATAACGAGCGCTACAAAATGAAAATTTTCTAGGTCGTTCTTCAAATCATACTCCTCAGAACTTACTCTATGTTTTTCTCGCGGTGACGTATGATATCGCTTCCGTGTGATTGGTTCAGAGCCGGGATGCGGTGCGATTGGAATCCGCGGAGCAGCATGCAAAGTGTTTTGCAAGCTGTGAGTGGAATGTTTCGAACGATTATTGTCTACACCGTCTTTTGACTCTTCTAAATCTTGCAAATTATTGTCTGAAAAACACAGAATGATAGTGTGATCATACATTGGCACTGATACGCAGGTGTCACACAGATATCACAAGCTTAAAATTTACGTCGCAATGCTTAGATGCATTGATAATTTTGTGCAAGTCGCACGATAAGAAAAGTCGAGGAGATAAACATATTGAGCATTGACGTAAAGCTGGATGCAAATAATTTTTATGACAAAAATAAATTTGAAAGTTTGGAGACATCAACGCCTGACTAAGAAAATAGGATGTATAACGAACATAATTTAACTCACGGTCAATTTTAAACACAATTTTCCGCCATTTAGTAGACAGTAACTCTTGAGAGGACGTTAAAAGTTCGGAGACTTTAACGCCCGACTAAGAAAATAGGAAGTATTCCAAACATAATTCAACAAAGTATTAACTTTGAACATTATCATTTTCGCCATCTAGCAGGCTTTAACTTTTACAAGGAATCTGAAAGTTTGGAGACTTTAATACCCGACTAAGAATGTATTTCAAACATAATTCAATTATGGGCCCTCATCGCCATCAAAACGACCTTAACTTAAAACAGGATTCAAAAGTTTGGATACTTTTAAAATTTCGTATCGTTGCAACGGAGGTTGGCGGTTAGTCAAAAACTTAACCAAATCCTCTCGCGAAAATTGGCCAGAACTGGAAGTATTTCTGCCAAATGGAACTGCAGACGAGTGAGAAAGATGGGGTGATTGGGGTGTGCTCTAGAACGCTGCATAAAAAACAATTCCCGTTGGAGAAATGGAAAAGCAGGATTTTCCTTTTTACCATACGGAACTATGTGCCAACTGAATGCGGCACTCATGAACCATGAGCATGTGACAAGAGCGTTGTGGACAGGAGTCATGAGTTAAAGACTCCGGATGTCAATCCCGATCATGAATCTGTCACCGCTGATGTCACTGGTGCTATATAATAACCATTCATTCTTGCGGAACTCAACTAACGAGCATACCCCTTCTTCCCACCTGTCTCTGGTTCCGCTCGGTACAAATACGTCCAATGGAGATGTTGCATGTGTGAGGAATTTGCGAGCTGACTATTGATTCTTATGTAAAAGTTCACGAGAAGCACGATGGTGCCACTGGTTTTCTCTGAAATCAACTATCAAGCTCAAAAAAAAACTCTCAAGTTGAGGCCAAAATGGAGGCGATATCCCACGCTATCCTGAGAGTCCACCTCTACATCAACACAAACTCTCCATACAAAGATAGGGAGTAAATACATTGACAGGGCTGCCACAATATTTTGGGACTTTAAAACTGAAAGCACGGCAACCCTGCTAATGTATTTGCTCCCTATCTTTGCATGGAGAGTTCGTCTTGATGTAGTGGTGGACTCTCAGGATAGCGTGGGATATTCCCTCCATTACGCCCTCGACTTTGATAGCTTTTTTTGAGTTTGGGAGTTGATTTCAGAGAAAACCAGTGGCAACATCGTGTTTCTCGCGAACTTTTACATAAGAATCAATAGTCAAATTGCAAATTCCTCACGCATGCAACATTCCCATTGTTTTTCCCATTCATTAAAAAGTCGGGCACTGACCAGTAGACACAAAATGCTGCGGCCTGAGCGGCGCGTACTCCGGCTTAACCAGACCGGAGACGAGACTGAGATCAGCCTGCGAGCCCTTGACGGAGCCGGCGTCGAGGGGCTGATGCGGCACAGCGTACTCGTTGACGAGCTTGCTCTTGGAGTAGGTCCGGGCCGGGCGCTGCGGGGTGGGCGCCGGGGCGGTGGCGTCCGTGTCGTAG